TAATGTATTTTTTTTTTTTTCCTTTCCTTTTTTTTTTCCTTTCTTTTTCTTTTTTTTTTTTTTTTTTTTTTTTTTTTTTCCCTGTCTGCCAGTAGTTATATGCTCTTGGACAACTACACACCACTCACGTTTGCAGTCCTTACCAGCCCCTGGCAGCCGTAGTTTCACCCGGCTCTCATGGCTTAACTCTTTCACTCAGCGATCCTTCCCTGGCAGCAATAAATTGCCCTCTCAATTGCCTTCCTCTGATTCCATTTCTGTAGCTCGCCTGCCAACGACGTGGGGCTTTGCAAACCTTTTGAGCCAAGAGGAGTGCACAGCTTACTAACTGCTCCGTCCTCTCCGAAAGGATTGGGGCCGTGGTTTTGATCATTTGAAAAATAAATAGAGCCAAGAAAATAAATAAATAAAAATAAAAATTAAAAAATTAAAAATGAAAGATAAAAATAAAAAATAAATAAAGCCAAGAAAGTACCTGGTTGGGACATGGGCTCAGACTTCAGCAACAGTGTTAAGCAGAGGCTTATCTTAGAGCTCATGCTTAAGAACAGCCGATTTCCCTTAGTACTTAAATTTGAAACAAATGCTTTGGTCCTTTTGTGGGTTGAAGCTTGTGGGGGAGACTGCCTCCTTCTCAAATGTCTTTCCTTGTCCTGTGCTTCATGACCTTCCTTTCCAGAGCCTGGTTTGGAAGCATTTCCCTGTGCCTTCTGCTCTCCTACACTCTGTTCTCTCCGTCTGCTGCTGCTCCTCTCACGTGTCCTCCTTTCCTCCTCTCTCCAGGTGATTTGCACGCTGGTGGCGGCTTTCTTGCACTTCTTCTTCCTCTCCTCTTTCTGCTGGGTGCTGACCGAGGCTTGGCAGTCCTACATGGCCGTGACGGGCCGGTTACGGAACCGCATCATCCGCAAGCGCTTCTTGTGTCTCGGATGGGGTGAGGATCCTGGGTCTGAGGAGCATCTCCCCTGGTGTGGTGGGACGAGGAGCAGAGAGGGTCTGGGCTACAAAAGGGGCTAATGCTCTGCAGAAGGCTTGGCAGAGGGTTCTTGCAACCCTTTTGGTGGGGTCAAAGAGGGCTCAGATGGTGAAAAACAGCACAAGCAAGAGTCGTAATAGAACGGGTAGAGTTGGAAGGGACCTTAAAGATCATCTAGTTCCAACCCTGCCCTGGGCAGGGACACATCCCACTAGACCAGGTTGCTCAAAGCCCTGTCCAACTGGGCTTTGAAATTCCTCTTTGATGTCCTGTCTGCTGCCCAGGGCACCTAAGGGTCATGTAAAACAAGTGGGCTGAGAAGGGTTGAGTTTTCAAGGGGCGTGCTGGGGGTAGTTTCTCCCAAGTTTGGGTCTTTTCCTTCCATTCTCTGTTTCTCTCTCTTGCTGTCTCCTTCCATGTGCAACCCGGAGTGAAGCAAGCTCTGAAATCCTGTCTCCATGGCAGCAGGGCCTTTCGTAGACAAATAAACTACGAGACTGGTGCAGATGCTTGTAACTAAATTTTCTCCCTTTGCCTCTTCCGTATGTTTAATTTATTAGCCTTAAATGATGCATTCTGTAGTAGAAAACAAACACAAACTCATAACCTGGGCTTTCAAAGCAATAACAGGCGTGCGTTTGAAAAGAGCAACAGAACAAAAAGTTGTTCAAAAGCGAGCAGGCAAAAAAAGGAGAAAGGGAGAGAGAAAGCTTTGTGTATTTGAGCCATATTAGTGTCTCGTTTTACTACGGAAGTCGAGCATTTCACCCCCAGGCAAGATATTTCTGATGCTTAGGAAGCGCCCTGATGTGATTTTTTCTGGCACATCAGCAGCCGTCCTCGTTCCAGCACCTGCATCCCTTTAAGTTTTCACTCCTAGCTTTTGCTTATGAAAGCAAAATAAATTATGGTATTGAAATATAGTGTTCGTGTGTAGCCAGGACATTGCCACATACATGCAAAGCACGGGCTGTATACGCCCGTGTGTGGTCACGCATATATTTGTACACAAACACCCTGGGACTCCAGGAACATGAGGCATATTGAATGCAAAAGACTAATAGCTTTTTTTTTTTAGGTAATAAAAAGGCATTTTTCTGATTTGTAAAACCTGGGACAGATGGGCGTGTTAGCTAAGGGAATTTTGGACGAGCGACATTCACATTTGTAGTCTGTCCAGATTGGAAAAAAAAAACCCCACAGAAAAAAGCCTACATGTGTAGAAGCATAATTTGCACTGCTAGTAAAATGTAGTCATCTCTGAACTAGGATGCACTGGCTGATAAATGATGCATAATAACCATTTGGAATAGGTTAGGACAAGAAATGAAGAACACTCTTGCCTATTAAGGCAGCAAGGGAATTTCTGATATTTAGCATCCTGCTAGACTTCAGCTGTGAAGCTGGGATTAATGGCACTTCTAAGAGGGAAGAGGCTGAAAATATGTTTTAAAGAGCATAATCTGAAATAATTAACACATTTCACTTTGTCATGGGCTGATTCTCCCCCTTTTCCCCCTTTGCGTATTAGCATTTCTCTAAGCTCTTGTTCTGGATGTCTTTGCCAAGTTCTCAGCTGCTGTCAGCTGTAGCTCATTCAAGCTATAGTGGTTTTCATCAGCAGTGAGGTTCATTCCCTTTTATTTTGTCCTCCTCTTGGGCATGCAACTTTTCTATTTCCAGAAAAGAGATTTAAGCAATTAGAATTTCTTTTTTTATTATTTTTTAAATTATTTGGAACAGACAGACAAACTGTTCTCTAGAAACAATTCAGTCATCATATTTAGCCCTGGTAAAGAAGAAATAATATTGTCAGTCTCAGTCTTTTTACAGCCATGTTGTAGTTTCCACAGCTGGATTTTTCATGCTGCTGTAGCCCAGGCTCTGAGTGGGTCTTCAGTTGTTCATAACAATTATGGCTCTTGGTTGTTATTAGCAAAGGACCATTTTCTGATGGGACAGGATGAACACGTGACTCAATTCTCCTCTGGCCTGGCAGTACAAAACTCTTGGAAACAGGGTTCCAATGCATTTATTTGAAATGGTGAATGTAAAATTCACTTTCTGCAGAAAGCCCCCCAAACCTTGCCAGTGACTGTGTAGCAGGAGTCACTGCTTAGAAGGCTGGTACAAACCACATGCAGTATATGGAACAGACCAGTTAGGAATAATTTTCTTTCAAGTAATTAAAAAAAAATAATTAGAAGTTTTGATTTTGATTTTGATTTTACTCAAGCTAAAAACATCTAACCATTTTTAAACCATCAAGAACTCTTCCAAGGTGGAGGAGGAGTAGAGCACCCTTGATTACTGTGCTCTTTAGCTTAGCTACCATGGCATTGCTACCACCTTCAGCAAATCCTGCTTGTACAGCTCCATTTTCAGCCCAAAGCTGGGGCTCCTGCCTAGGCTCCGTACGAGCCAGTCCCTGTAAGCTGACAAGTTCACAGCCACAGTGTGTATTTCTGCATAATTATCACGTCTAAGAGAAGCGCTTTGCGAAGAACAAGTTGCTATTTTTGGCCGAGTCCTGGCCAACTTTCCTCTTCTGCAGGGCTTCTTGCAGCAAGCGATACTCTTAAAAGTCCTTTCACACGTGGTTTCTCGGCGTGCTTGCCATAGGAATGCCATATTGATGGCATCGTGGTGAGTACAGCACCCAGGAGGTATCCAGATGAGGTGTGAAGGAGGCTCAGCAAGAGAAGCAATAGTCAGTTAAGAATGAAAAAAAGAGGGGGAAAAAGAAAGGAAGAAAAAAAAAAAGAAAGAAAGAAAGAAAAAAAGAAAGAAAGAAAAAAAAAAGAAAGGAAAAAAGAAGAGACATCTTTTAAACTCTCTGCCTGTTAGTTTTGGATTGATCAAATGTGAGCTGTGCTTGGAAATCTCATATAGGAGGAGAAACGCTTCTCGTTATAAGTCTCAAATCCTGCATATTCCAGCCAACTTGGCCTTATACCTCCCAGCTGGCTGCAGACCCTCACAATTAATCAATCTTGCAATGATTTGTGATGCTGAGTGACCACCCTGCCAGCAGGGTGGTTGTCTGGATGCTGTGTCTACACATCCCTTCGATCTCCAGCACCTTCTGCAGCCGCCTGCCGTGACCTCTGCGGCAGGAAAATTAGGGTCTTTGTCAAGAAGCACTAATCCTAGCTGGCTACTGATCCCGCTAATTCCTAATGGGATTTGCCCATCTTTAGAATTGAGATAGCTTAATTCAGCATGTCACAAGGGGAAGGGCTATAAAAAGCCACGTGGAGACCTCTGTAGCTGAAGAACCAGATGTTACCAGCCGATATCCAGGCATTTCTTTAGGGAAAGGGGAGAGCTGGGCTGGTGAACCAGGGAAGTACTTGATCTCCTCTGTCGATGTTTAAGCAGTTTATCGTGTCAGGGAAAAGAAGGATCAGAAGACGATTAGCAAGATGGAGAATCCTTTGCTAGTTCTGATTGTGCCCAGGCGTTCAATGACGCCACAATTTCAGAACTTTTTATGACTTTTAAGGCCAATAACCAGCAGGTTGCACAATAACCAGCAAGTTTTACTTATTCTCCTTGCTCTCATTTTATGGGAGCTTCTAGTGCTGAGACCAAAGCCATGTCTTCATCCCCCTTATGCACCTGAAATGACATCCCCGTGCTGGCATCATTAGCTCATGACACTCTAAAGATAAATTGTGCTTTACACACTGTGGCACCCCAGCCCCAGACTAACTTGCTCATCTTTTGCAAGACTCGTAATGAAGGGTGTCTTCTTGAGAACAGCTGGTTTCTCTTAGTTTATTCCCCTTTTGGACACAAAAAGGGTGCAGGTCTCTGGCAAGAAAATAAGTATCCTGTTTTGCAGAAAGACCTGATATTCTGATGCTCTCTTCCACTTGGTTCAGAGGGACCCGATCCGTTAGAGCCTAACACGTGAAGAACCTGTTTGGGATAGGAGGAACTCAGTTTCCATCTCCTTTTCTCTCTCATCTGGGGCAAGACTTGAACCTGGGCTGTTCATCATCCATTATGTTGAGAACAAATGTAGCCCTTAATGTCCTCCTTGATAGCTCTTTTGGGTTGGGTTGTGGCTGACTATTCCACCTTCAGGAGATACCTTGATATATACCCGACCAGACTGTATACCTAAGAATAAAATAAATTTATTTTATGCATCTGCATGTACTGTCAGTCCCCACACAACTGCTGAGACCACAGCAGGATATGAGCTGATTACAGGTGATGGCATTTACTTCATTAGCAGAGGTAACAAGGGTTCATGCTTTTGGCTCTGAAGGTCCTGAATCCAGCCTCTACCAAAGACCCAGGCTGGGACAGATGGTGCTAGAATAACACGGGGAAGAATTGGGTATATTATGCAGTTGAGTGGGAGAAGAACTGTACATATGCTTAAATGACCAAGTTTCTCTTGTTTTGCTTCCGTAGGGCTCCCCGCCTTGGTGGTTGCCATTTCTGTGGGATTTACTAAAGCCAAGGGGTACGGCACCATCAACTAGTGAGTAAAGGAGTTCTTCCTCAATTTTTCTTTCTCTCTCACCCTCCATCCTTTTTTTTTTCATAATCCACTGACCTGCAGGAGCCAAGGTAGGAGGTAAATTCTGGTGGACTGCCCATGGCAGAGGGAAGCAGGGCTGATGGGAGAGGAAGGAGCCATCCTGCCTCCTCAAGCCACCAGCTGGCCCAGGTGGATTGTGTATTCCTTTAAAAACAAGTTTACAGGGACTAGTTAGATTTAACTGTTGCATATATGATACGACTTTGATCTAAGTATGTCCTATTTAGAGATTTTTTTTAAACTTATTTTTATGGGGAAAATGTGGAATACTCAAAGTTTAGGATTTTTAAAATGAAAAATAGTTTTTGTGTTTATCTATTTAATGATTTGCTTGGTTGGGCCCAGGTCTTCCAAATAGTTTGGCTCGGTTTTAGGCACCGGAATGAGCATGAGTTTTTCAAACCAAGTTTTTGAAAGCCATCTGAATTTGCCTGTTTTCCGAATTCCACAGGGTTTGCCTTTAGGAAACTTTTATTTGCATGTAATGGGGGAAGGAAGGGAGGGAAGGAAAAATGGAATAAGAATGTGTACACCTTTAAAAATATGTTAAGGCAGGGCTGGAATCACTCAGAGTTGAGCATTAGTACAACTTAAAAAAACCAAAACAACAGAAAACAAACAAATAAAAGACAAAGAAAGTGTTATTTTTTTAACTGTGTTTTGAAAAAGCTTAGAAATTTTATGCATAGTGGCAACCAAAGGATAATATTTTATGTAGCAATAAATCAGGCCCTTCCCTACTGCAACCCATCATTACTCAGAGCCTGCCTGGTCAGTGGTTTGCATCCTACATGAACAACGTTTAAGACAAAAGCTGGCCAGCAACAGATGAGGGTTTGATAGGTCCACGGAGAAAATTACACGTGGAATCCCTGCTCTTTCCCAGTTCCCACCATATTCTGCCCACCCACGACCAAATGGTCCAGAGTTTTGCGTTCTGATTGCAGGAGAGTATTAAAACAGCACAGCAGCATTCTCCATTTGCTTGGCAGTCTAAATTACCGCAGTCTAAATTACAGTGCAATATAGAGGGCTCAGGAAGGCGGGTTTGTCAAATAAAAATCCATAGATACAGTTCCTGAAGCCTGTGCTGGCATCAGGATGCATTGGCTGTACCTGTCCTGCCCCAGCCTGGGTGACTTGGCCTCGGTGTGTCCTGGTGGAGAGGGATCCAGGGCTTGTTGTATGACTCAGAAGAAGACAACGCACAGCCTGGCTTTCAGAGGTGCCACTGAGATCCCAAATGCCCTTTTAGCTTTTCTGTGGAGCTGCTGTTTCTGGGGCTTTCCTCCATGCGAGTCCACGAGAACAATTCGTAATGAACAAGCATCAGGGGAACGGAGAAAACTCCTAAATATTTCTGCTTCCTCTCGTGTTTATGGATTGTTGGGAATTGGTGCAAAAAGCTCAGTCATTCCCTCCCCGTTAATGTTTAGGGGCCACCTCAGAGTTTTGTGGTCAACATTGACCACACAAAAGAGCCTGGAGGGGGAAAGGGAGGAACGTGCAAGAAAGCACACCCTATTTCACTGCCCTGGACCATCGCCTGCCAACATCTCCCTGCCCCAGAGCAAAGCCTTCCCAGACTGCAGCCAAAAGGGTGTCAACGGGTGACAAAACCTGCTGGACTCCAGCTTGGCATACTGGCGAGGTGGCCAACAGGCTGTGCTGTGACTTTCCATCCTTCCCAGAGGATGCTTAATCACACCAGCTCTCCTCCCTCTGCTCCTAACCCTCTGACTCCTTTCAGCCCTTGAGTCTCTGTCATTCCTTGCATCCAAAGGCTGGATGCTGCCCACCTTGTAGCCTGGCTGGCTGCCTGAGGGGATGGCAAGGGATCCTGCAGTCCCAGCAGGAGCCACAGCCCGAGTGACACTATTTCCTAGCTCTGCTGTCGGGGTGCTTGTCACCAAAACAGCAGGGGATCTTCTCACTCCAGCAAATCCAGTTTGGTCCTCTTTACCAGACTGCAGCACGGAAGGGGATGAAAAGCTGGTGAGTCCCAGCAAAGCTGTGAATGGAGCAGCAGTTCCTCTCGTGCCCATCAGGCATTTATAACACTGCCATCTTGCTGTAATTCCTGCTGTTGGCTTTACCCAGAATGCCCATCAACCATGGGCTGTAATTCCTGCTGTTGGCTTTACCCAGAGCCAGACCTAAAGAGAGATAACTCACAGTCACACCCTCAAGCGACCATCTCTGTCCCAAGCAGCGTGGATGTCCCCATGGGCACCGGTCAACCCCCCTGCTCTGCTTCCATGCAGTAAGGGGCTAATGGGTACATGCTGCTGGGTCAGGGCGATGGCGTGGTGGGTTCTTGAGCCATGATGCTGAGCATAAACTGGGGCTGAGCATCACTGTAAAGAGAGTTACATTTGCACGTCGGTGCATTTTAAAACGTGAAGCAAATATTCATGTTGACCAAGCCAGGCAGGGTGTCCCGACAGACTGCAGTGCATTCACACTTCTCCCTGTGCTCCTGCTCAAGAGGCATAAAAGCTCTTAGATTTATGTGTGGGGAGGCCCTTGGTCCCACCTCTTCTCTAAGCAAAGTCGACATCACATAGCAGTAATTTCAGAGCTGAACTCCAAAACTTGAGGTGGTTCAGACCTTGATTTAACACTGTCTAATGCTAAAGGCATATAAACAGAATATGGCCTTGAATCAAAGCTTGTCCCAGGGCATTTGTAGGTTTCTGACTGTTGCAGAAATGCATGAAGTAGTTGCAAAGCTGAGACCTAGAGCTCAGGAGCTATTTTAGCTTTGTCTCTAGTTAGTACAGGGCATGCACAGGGCATTTCAAATGAGCATTAAGACTTTCAAGGCATGAAGTTTCCATCTTGAAGAAGGAAGGAAAGACATTAGCCATAACACGTCCCTCCCTGTGAAGCAGGGGACAAGAGCTGACATGATAAACCACAAGGGACTTCACAGCGTCTTTCAAGGCTTCTTCTAACCCTGCAATTTCTGGATCCTAAGAGCAGTGCATTAACACCCGTTGGTTTTCTTGTGGAGATGGTCATTAAGACAAAGCAGGGCTCTGATGTTTAGCTGAGCACAGGATTTGGCACTCAACATCAATTTTTTTCTCATCCCCCCTCACAGTGGTAAAAAATCCCTGACATCCATCTACAGGAGATGGCCGTGAGAGCATTTTGGGGATAGATGCAGCTGTTGAAGGCATTGCAGCACTTGGTGTTACAGACTCCCAGGGAAAAGCTGGTAGAAGGGACAGTGTGTGAAATGCATATTGTGCCTCTGTCATCAAGAGTGAAACTGTTCTTCTGCAGAGTATGCCAAGGTGGCCAAGTGCAGTGGAGCAAGTTAGGGGAGTAACCTCCAAGACGGTGGTCTACCTGGACCCTAAGCAAGATTTCACCCAGCTTTGTCCTCTCTTTTTTTTGTGCCATGGGATGAAGCTATTCTGTAATGATATAAACACAACTGAGCAGCAGTAATGGAGGCTTGTCCCATCGAGATGTGGTAGCAGTCAAAGGGTTGACCATGTCTCCAAGCTGTAATGCAGAGAGATCAGAGACACTGCTAAGTATGGGAAGGTTGTAGTTAATATTTAATATTTACCCTTTAGCTGGCCAGACTGGGCTACCAAGTGGTAAGATAAGAAGGAAGAGAGAGATTCAAATTGAAAACTAAATATGTACTGCAGGATTCGGACTGTGTCTCTGTTGTTTTCTAAGGGGCAATTCCCCAGCAGGCGTTTGCTCAGAGGCCTTTATTACTCAGGACACTTCTTCTGGAGTGCTGTGAACTCTCCATCCACAATGAGGAGAGGAGAACACAAGAGGATTTTTCCTTCTTATCTGAACAGCATTTGAAAGGACATTTTAGAGTTGTTTGGAGAGCTGCTGGAGTAGGGTACAGGCTGTACTTCCAGCCTCAAAGAAAGTCTTAGAGATAATGGAGGTCTAGAGGACCTGCCACTGCTCACCTCCTTGTATTAGGCTGAATGCCTGAATAATAACTCTCCTCTTAGCTGGTACTCCAGGGATTGACTCTGGTCCTCTAAAGCTTGACAAACTGCCTCCTGAAGCTTGAACGGAGTAATTGAGGTTGTGCTACTGGTAGCTGGGAACTCACATCCTTCCCCACAGGAGAGCCCACAAAAACTTTAGTGCGAGCAGTGCCAAAGCACAGCAAATTTCCAGGGGTTCTCACGTGTCATTGCATCAGGGCTTCTGTCACCCACAGTTATCTCAGTAGCTTCTATGTTAATCCCTAAATTAACACTGGTGGAACAGCCCTGATTCCCAGCTGTAGTCTTAGTGATTCAAATATGTTGGCTGTTGCGTTGGGGCTGCTTATTTTTGCACGCGATCGAGGTGAGACCTGTTGCTGGCAGAGCTGTACGGTGGAGTCAGGAAGGTCTTGGTGGAAGTCAGCTCTTTGCAGGACCAAGACAAAAGCCACCCGTCTCACATCTCCGCTGTGGCAGGCTCACAAAAGGATCAGGTGTTTTGCAAAGAGGTCTTTCGCGTTGAACACAAGAGCTGCTGTCAATCAGGGGACATACTGCTTAGAAATAATATTCCGGAGCTGCTGAGCATTGTTAAACCATTCACTTACTCCCTTCTAGTGATAATTTTATTTAAGAGATTTGTGAAGAGATCCCTTGGCAAGTACCGGGGAACCTCTTAGCGAAATGCAAATATTTCTGTGCCTTGTAGGCACAGGGCTAAAAGCATCTCCACTCAACTAATATATTGCTGGAGTTTGCTGTCAGTTCCTGTCTTGGATATCACTTCACCCTTTCCCTTCCCTCGCTGTCAGCCACCACCTCTGACAGCCTTGGAAATGTTTCGATTAAGCGCTGTGGCAGGGAGGTCAGGCAGTCAGAAGGGATAAGGACCAGTGCTTGGTGATGTGTGAACTTGCCTTCAGAAAGCCTGATGCTCAGAGGGGAAGAGGGGCTGCCAGGGACCTGACATGAACAAGAGCCCTCGTTGCACCAAGTCCTCGTTGCTAATTGGAGTGCAGGGCTGACAGCTCCTCTCTTCGGCTGAGCCTGGGTTGGAAGAGACCCTGGGCAAAACGGTCTCAAAATTAAGGTGGAATGTTGGAGAAAAAGGGCAGGGACCAGCCCTCCTGGTTCCCCTTGCCCTCTCCTTGCATTTAGGGAGACCTCCATTTATTGCACCCTCCAAAGCTTCATTCTTATTCCCTCCCTCCCCAGCTGATTATTTGCTTTATTATTACAGCTGCTCAGACTGTTTGTGACAGAGGAACTTGCTGTTAGGAAGAGATCAGAATTGATTAAATTAACACATTACAGGATTAATTTAGAAATAAACAAGATGCAGGCCTCAGAGAAAAACAGAATGTCCTGCTTTCAATTTTACATTTGATATACTTTTTTTTTTCTTTTCCCAAATGTTCTGTGTTTCGGGGCGAAAAAAAAAATAACATTTTTTGCAAGTCAGAATTGATACAAAAACATATGAGGCTGATCAACAGAGTTGAAATGTTTCCAGGAAGGCTTTGTTTCCTGGGAGACTCTGAAAGGCAGCATCAGTTTGCTTCCGAGGCAGAATGAAACCGTATTGCTGAGGTTAGAGGCACATAACTGAATTACTGCAGGGTTAGCTGGGTTAAGAGCTTTGAGAAAGTTCTTGCTCCATTGTGGTCGCCTGCACTTATCCTGTGGTAAAGGCATGGTAGTTTACTGCTGAAACAGGATTACTTCATCTCGCGTTTGCTCCAGGGTGCTGCGATGTCAAAGCATGCAAACTTTCCATGAGGTTGCTGACACAGTGTAAACTTACATCCTCTCTTGCCCTGGAGTACCTGGTTTATGTGTCTGTACTCTGAGTTGCTGGATTCCCCAGAAAAGGGAAATTTCAGCTCCAGTGCTGCCATAACTGTGGCAGAGTCACAGACTGGTTGAGGTGGGAAGGCATCTCTGAAGGCCATCTGGTCCAACTACCCGGCTCAAGCAGGGTCACCTAGTGCTGGATGCCTAGGACTATACACAGACTGGTTTTTAATGTCTCCGAGGATGGAGACTCCTGAACCCCTCTGCTCATCCTTTGCCAGGTCACTCTCACAGTGAATATGTGTTTCTTTCATGATTTTACAGTCATAACCTAAAAATGCCTGTTGGTTGTCCAGACACCCAGTGATGCTCAGCTCTTTGGGTGGGAGTAGGGTGACATTTCCCCTGCCTTTCTTTTCTTTTTTGTTTTACACTAAATTTGTCAGTATGGGGATGTTGGTGTACAGTGCAATCTGCATGTGAATCATAGAATGGTGGGTTAGAGGGACCTTAAAGATTGTTGAGTTCCAACCCATTACACCAAATTTGTCAGTATGGGGATGTCGGTGTGCAGTGCAATCTGCATGTGAATCATAGAAAGGTGGGTTAGAGTGACCTTAAAGATCGTTGAGTTCCAACCCGGGATACCTCCCACTAGACCAGGTTGCTCAAAGCTCCATCCAACCTGGCCTTGAACACTTCCAGGGATGGGGCATCCACAACTTCTCTGGGCAACTTTTTCCATGGTCTCAGCACCCACACAGAAAAGAATTTCTTCCTAGTATCTAATCTAAATTTCCCCTCTTTCACTTTAAAACCATTACCCCTTGTCCTGTCACTCCACTCCCTGATAAAGAATCCTTCTCCATCTCTCCTGTAGCCCTGTACAGTGCAGTAGGAGCTCTGAGGGGACCCCTGGACCTTATTCATACTAATTACATGAGAGATGGGAATCATCTCCCCAGTGATGTCTCCATCAGATTTAGGTGCACTGTTTACTTGGATCTGGATGACCTGGTCAAGGCAGTCAATGGAGTTCAGGATGTGATTCATCTAATTGAATGTAGATGCCTCATCTTGGACTCTTTTTGTTGGATCTCTGCTGACTCAAAAGGTCATCAAGAGTGATTGGCTCTGTCACAGGCAACAATAGAGCAGACCATCAGCATTTAGTCAGAAGAGACCCCTCAGTTTGTGTAGGCACCAGGCAGTTTAGGAGCCTAAATTCCGCATGTGGTCAGTGGAGGAAGAAGTCCTTCCCAGGTTACATGGTGTGAGGGAGAAGGAACAAGCTGGTTTCCAGAAGAGGCACCACACGCCTCAAGTTCAGCTCATTCCTTAAGAACGTCCACTTAAGGAGTGCTGTGAATTCCCACCACACTGCTGTGTTGTAAAATTTGCCCATGGCAGAGAGCTCAAAGGGAGATTCCAGGAGAAGAAAAGCACTGTACTCCTGGACCTGAGCACTCAGTGAGCACAGTGGTTAGCAAATGAGTGAGGGACAATTGCCACTGTTTCTACTCTTTTGCTTGAGTGAATAGGACAAAAGCATCATCTTGCCAGAGAACCAATGTAGCTGCTTCTAGGACCTGATCTGAAACAGAGCGCTATCGTTCATTTTGCATGCATTCCTCTGTCAACAATCAAATGCCATTCTGCAGGCAGACCCCCAGGCAAACGAGCCTTTTATGCAAGTTCAGGAGAAATGGGAAGCAAAACTTGCTTGCTGTAAAGTCTGAGACTTTTTTTGCCATGGGCTATCAGCTCTCAAGATGAACTCTGCAGGCAAAGGGAAGAAGCAGACACGCGCCTGTCGCTGATGTTAGCCACGGGGTAACTTTCTTTTCTCTCTTCGTTTTCCAGCTGCTGGCTGTCGTTAGAGGGAGGTCTCCTCTACGCCTTCGTGGGACCAGCGGCTGCTGTCGTTTTGGTATTTAAGCTTAGCTGAAAGCATTTATTTTTATTTTTTTTTGTCTTATCTTATATCACTTTCCTTGTTCTTTCAGATATTTATTTTTTTTTGTCTCTTTATCTTATATCACTTTCCTTGTTCTTTCAGCCCAAGAATGCCGCTCTTTATTTCCAGTCATGTTTCAAATAGCTTTCTCCTTCAGGAATAAAGAGCAAAGTGTTAGAAGCCAGCAATCTGGGAAGGGTTTGATTCTGAAATGTAATATGCCTTGGCTCTCAGCCTTCTACCTCTGTCCTCTCTGGAGTCCCTTAGACATCTGGTTGATGCTTTACCTTGGTTTTGCCATATCTGGATGGAAGTGCAGGATGATGGTGGAAAACTCTGACATTAACTCCTTCAGAAACTGCAGTTACTGGTTGCTTTCAGACCAGGCTGTGCCTCCTCAGCCAACATTTATTCCTGGTCTGTCCCAGATGAGCAGCTTCCTTGTTTGCAGGTGAAATGGAGGTCTTCAAATCAGTGCCGTGGGGATCCTTTGTGACCCTAAAAATGTCATGTTTGCTTCTAGTTCAAAGAGATGGCATGGTTAAAGTGAACATTCCCAAACTGTGTCCCACCAGCTCATGCATGGTGAGAGTTTGTTCTACTGTCCCCTCACTCTTGGCTCCAACATAGCACCAAAGCCCATCTTGGCCAGTTACGACTTGAGTTGAAGGTGTCACTCAAGAGATGACATGCCTTTCATCAAGCTTCCCTGCTGTCAAAGCCTCATTGGCCATGAGAAATCTTCACTGTCAGGGTTCAAAGAATTTTTGAGAACTTCTGGTCCTCTAGGAAATCCCTCCTGCAGCAATTTCAGATGGGTTTAATGCCACATTTGAGCTCCCACATGGAAGTGACAGTTCTTCAGTTCCTCTCCACTCCTGTGTTTTATCCAGTGCCTCTAAGGCTCAAGTGCCCTGAAGGGTCCCACAGGACTGGGGTTGTTGACACTTGCAATTTCTTTTTCAGATCTGGTGGGTTTTTTTTCCTGCAGTACCTGGGGGGTGAAATGCCCTGCGGCAGGAACAGGCTTACAGGAGAATAACTACACAAAAAGCTCTTGCTGCCTCTATTCTCACTGCTGTCATTGCACATCAAACCACCTGGATGCCATTGTTTCATCACAATGACAAAGAGACAAGCCAGCACTTGCCCCTCCTCTATAATAAAGCAAAGCTTCTATCAGTTAGGGTCTTTCTTTAGTGTAGGGCTGCAACACATCGTGGAGCCTTCAGCTAGCAGTCAGCAAAGAGTGGGGATAAAATATGTTCATGCCAGCCACTCACTAGATCTCTGTAGGCACATGATAGTCGGATTTCCCTCAGTAATGTAGCTGATGGGGGTCAGGGTCTTCTTTATAGCCAGGGTAATTGACAGGAGCATTAAGTGGCTTAGTGCTTTCGGATGAACTATCTCTTTGCCCCAACAACATAAAAGCCCATAGCTCTGGCTTGGAGAATGCTCAATAGACAGCAGTGATTAGTAGGGAGGGAGCTTTGGTAGTGCCCAGAGAAGGGGGAGTCAATCTGTTGCCCTCAACCCATCATGCTTCTGCTATGTTAGCAACTAGGGAAATAATCCTTTGGCTTTCTTTAGCATTTTTAAAGCCTGAGATAACCGCACGAGCCTGCTTCCATTTGGCATCTCAGTTTTCACTCACCATCGAAGCTGGAAATGGAGATTTCCTTACAGAGAGGTCAACACCTGCAAATGGTGGCTCATGCAGCTGATCTTAGGAAGTGTTGAATCATCCCTGAGGGTGTCTGTCTCTATTCAGTACCTAGAGAGAGAGCATACACACCTAGTTTGGACTACCTGACTCATTGCTGCCCAAGTTGGTATATCTACTGAGGAGGTTGGGGAAGAAGAAGAAGCACTGAAAGCCTCTTTTATAAATGATAACCTGGGAAAAAGTTAAGCTCAATAAGTTGCCCAAATTCCCATCATGACTTTTAACAGCTCCAGAAGTTGAACACACAGTTCTTGACTGTAGCTGATTTAGCTACAGCTGGACTTGTAACCTTGGCCTTGGCCAGGCTGGACTTGTGCTTCCTCCTCCCAAGCCATCCAAGGATCTCTGTACTGTCCTATCAACACGATTTTTCTTTTACCTGTAATAACCTTCTTCCTCCACACCCTCCCCAGATTGAAAAGAGGCCTTTGTCTCAGAGAATATCTTTACTCAAAATAATATTCTTAAGATGGTTGGCCTGCAGCTTGCAGCAATATTTGCAGCTAACAGTGGATGGCTGCAAAGGTTTGACCTTTAGTCTTAAAAATCCTAGGAACCTGAAATGCAGAGCTGTTAAAAGCAGTTTCTGTCACCTAGCTCAGGTGAAGCAGGCTGGTGATAATTGTGTGCAGGCTGAAAGCAATGGGTTACTGCAGGGAAAGGCTCATGGCATGGTGAGGTCAGGACAGAGAGTCATCAGGGACCGGTTATCTCAAGGGCTGAATCTCAAGACTCGTGTCTTTGCTTCTGGATGCCATCTCAGAGATAAAGAAGTGAAGCTGCACAGCAGGTTACGAAGAGTGGCTGTGTTTAGAAGCATGTCCGTGTGATATCCCTGACTTTGCAAAGGAATGGAGCCAGGATGTTGATCATGATGATCAATGCACTGGATAAAATAGCTTTTATTTATTAAAACAGTTGCAGGCTGCAACTGCGGAGCTGCACTTTGTCATCTCCCCTTCTGGATAGGAACAAGGATACACACTGTGTTGTGGCTGGCCCCAGGAGCGATCTAGGCTGCCACACTTCAACCCCATCTTTCCTACTGCCTTGCTGTACCTAAAGCAAAGTCTGTCTTGCACTCAGCCTTCAGCACGGCGAAGAAGGATCAGTGAATCGAAAGGGCTCTCTCTCTCTAAGCACATAACTGGGGTTTCATTTCCTGCTGATCCTTGGCTGAGTTACTGCGTCTGACTTGCCAGCGTTGTTTCTCTTAAAAACAATACCATGGTGAGCTCAAGAAAGGAACTCACAGCTGTGGAAAGTAGTCCACTGACCCAGCAGCTGATGCGAAAGAAAATAACTGCTATTTGTGAGATCTACCATTTATTCCCAGCTGTGGACTCCACAACAGTGACCCGGGTCGTGTCCGGCTGAAACCAGCAATCCAAACTCAGAAAGACTGCTCATTTTTGAGAATGATCTAGGCAATTAGATGGAGGCTTGGTGTGAGCAGACGTCTCCTTTCCTCTGGGCTATGTGTTGTACTAGGTGTCTCTTAGGACCACCTCTCAAGGGTCTATTAAACTCAACAAGCTTCTCAGCAAACATGGAATGTTGCACGCTTCTGAATTTGGCCTTAAACATTTCCTTGCAAGCCCCACATGCAGAAGAGCATCTAGTACCTCCTTCTACCAACACCAGGTGTTTGACTGTCAGCAAAACTTGTGTTGTCACTTTTTTCCACCATCAATGCTGTGCCTCCACCAAGAGGGTGGTGCTCATGTGTCCCCAAATGGGTTCGCATTCAGAGGTTGCTGAGGTTTGGGTGAAGTTTGTGAAGCAGATGCAGCTGGCAGCAGCGAATGCAGGCAGAAAGGCACAGGGAGGAGCTTCGCATCACTTTAGTCTGTATTTCACTGTGAATATTTATACCTGATTGACACAGACACCCATGGTCTCACCCTGACGAAGCAGGATGAAGGATTGCACACAGTTGCCCTGCCCCTGATTTTTTGGAAATGGATGGCTGGCTGATGTGTATCCTGTGCCATCTGCAGTGTCTCTAAAGACATCCCACCATAGTAGCTGATATTTTCACTTGCTCCAGTGCCCTTCCATCTCCTATTTTGAGATCAGCGGTGCTGGTACACTGAGCAAAAACTGTGACAAGCTGTCTTCATAGCACCACTCTGTCCTCTTAAGGCTGCTCCTTTGGTAACAGAGATTCCATAAGGCACTTTTGAAAGCAGCCGGTGTTAACCCACTGCTCTCCCCTCTATTGGCCATTTTCTGTTTGTATTACCCTGAACCTTTTGCCTACGGTTTGCCTTGCTAGATCTCGAGCAGGCATTGAGCTCCAAACAGCCTTGCAGCAATCTGAGCCCCTTGCAGTCTTGTCTTGGTTCATGGACATCTCTCTGATCTGCTGCCAGCTGCATTGTGCTGTCCTGAACTCACTGATGCATGGCCAGGTGGGACAGGGTGGAGAAGGGACATAAAGGGTGGTGGCCTGCAGAAGTGTGACCGTGCTACCGAGCTTCGGGAGAAATGGGAAAGACTTAATCTGCCAAATGTTGGGTTTTTCCTTCTGTCTACCCAGCTTGACCTGACTTACTTGAGAACAAAACTGTGTTGTTTCTCTTTCAACAGGTGAACATGGTTATTGGCATTCTGGTTTTTAACAAACTTGTATCCAAAGATGGAATAACAGATAAGAAACTGAAGGAACGGGCAGGGTATGCCTTATCAATACATCTAAGTAAAGAACAAAAAACCAAAATGAAACAAGGTTGTGATCAATAACCAGGCAGGGAATGCAAAGAGAGATTGGAGATGCAAACAAAATGCAAAAGCAGATTTAAACAAAATGAAAGAAAAAAGATCCCAGGTGGTTTAATTTCTCTGCCTTGTCAGTGCAGCAGAGACACAAGACCCAAGAAGCAACATTGTGTTACTATGGAGGAAGGTTAGAAGTTCATCTCTTTGTTAAAATGGCTTCAGCCCAGCCTCTTGTATCCTCCCGAGGATTAGGGAGAACAAAGTGATTCTTCTCACTATCTCCTGGAGACAGCAGCTGGATCAGAGAGGGACTCATAGTTGCTGAGTGCAGCACGTGGCAAGGGGTGCGTAACAAGAGAAACCATGTCTAATGGCTGGCAGGTGGCTGAGGGACAGCAAAGGTAGGTGATACTTTTAAGGAAAGGGTGTTTGGAGGTCTAGCAGTGAACAGATTAGTAGATGGATGGTTGTGTAAGGAGTAAACAAAGATACCTCTTCTGCAAGAAAAGGTTTTGATGCCACCTGAGGTTCTTTATCTTCTCCACAGCCACCACCCCACCCTCCATCCCTGAAGCCTGGGGCTTGTTACCTGATTCTCCTCGTAGTATTAATCAAATCCACAGTTCTTATCACCCTAGTCTCATGAGGGGTTGGCTGAGGTGGCAGTGACTGTCAGGACTCTCTGTTGGGTTACTTCCAAACTCTGTTGACAGTGGCTATTTCGTCATTGACTCCAGCAGGATGAGACCCCCCTCTTTGTCTTCATGTCTAGAAAAAAGTCTGTAGCTTGCTCAGACTTTATCTCTGGGCTATGCCACGCTCCAAGCCAAGGACAGCAATGACATGCTGACACTCTGAGTCAAATGAAATGCACAGGTCAGCCTGGCTGCTGAAGTTAGTATGTTATTTTCCACTGCCTTACTTGGTTTAGTGGTGCAGTCAGAGAAACTATCACCTTACCTGCTGCTAGGAAAGACAGTTGTATGGTCTCACGTGTCCATTGATAGCATTTGGTTTTATCACCATGTATAAGAATTGTATTACAAAGAGACAAGAAGAGGAAGAGATGCTCCAGTGCCTCTGCACCGTGGCAAGAGGCAGAGCCTAAATCCTTACGAAGTTGGTGGAAAAGGTACAAGGAGTCTCCAGCATAGTCTGTCTATGAAAGCAGAAGGATCTTGGATACTGGTAGTCTTTTTTTGCTGCACTCCTAGGCTTCACAGAGAGGATAAGTTGCTTTATCCACTGCTGTGCTACAAAAGCCTTGGGCCTTAAAATTGGGTGTCAGAAGGCAGAGGCAGAAAGTACAGACAAGGTTCAATATTCCTGTCATTGCACTATTGGGTAGTTCTGGTGGAAGTGGTTTTTAATTGAGTGGTGGCAGCAAAACCAAGGGCAGAAGTGAGTTCTTATCCAGCCACAGGAGAAACATGTTAAGGTTCATGTTTTATCAGCCACGTTGACATACCCTCGGTGCAGCAAAGAGGGGAATCTCGATGCCTGAGCAGTGCCATGGTCACAGTAATAAGAGGAGATTTAAGCACATTTGGATGACCAGAAGTACCAGTTGCTGCTGGATTGAAGAGGTACCCACAGAAGTGACCTTGGTGCACTGCTTAAAGCAGCTGCTAAGAAGCGTGTGCTTTATTCTGGATGATGCCCTTTACAAAGAGAGAACTCAAGAAAATAGCCAAACTGCTGGCAGAGTCTGTAGCAAGACAATTACGCTTGAAAGTCAGCACTGAAATAAATGGTTTATTGGATTAGCAGAGCAGCAAGTTCCTGTCTATCAGTCTCTCCCTCTCTAACCTAAATTGCATACAGACTAACCTTATTTAATACATAGCACCTGGTTATTGATCACATTTCTAGTTGTACTTTGAAAACAAAACCTGCAAAGCAAAAAAAAAAAAAAAAAAGTCATTTTTTTTCTGATGTTCTTTGTTTTTTCTTTCTTTTCTCTTTTTCCCCCCCTTCTTCCGTGTCCGTGTGTGTGTGTGCAGCACTTTTAAGCCTTCTCTGTGCTCAATGATTTTGTTCTCCTTTGGAAGTGCACCCGCTGAGAGTGCGGAAGCACTTTTGAGAGCTCTGGTGCCCCTTCCCTTTAGCTATCTGCTTCTGGCCTGGGCTTGGGAACCGTGTTGGAAGGTAGATCTGAAGTTAATCAGAATGAGTAACGGCCTTGGAGATGTTTGGATCTGAGGAGATGGTATAAAGAAACGTTGTGTTTCCTTTAGCAGAGGCAAGAAGTATGGTTCAGTGTTGCAAAAAAAAAAAAAAAAAGGCAAAAGGGGAAAAAAAAAAAAAGAGGAGGAAAAAAAAAAAAGACCTGTTGAACATTAAGAGGAGCCCAGCACACAAACCGCAGATCGGTTGGTGCAAATAAATCAGTGCTAACAGTTCCTGTGAAATAATAACCAAGACATGATAGGTTTTGCCCTATACTTAGCAGAGGAAATTGCTATGATTACTGTTGTCACATCTGTCAGAAAACGTTGACTTTCTAACAGCAATGACTTTATATCACAAAGCCAGGCTGTAGAGAGTTGGGTGTGATTTCCTGGAGAGGTGGAGAAATGCACACAACTGCCCCAAATCCTGTCTGGGCACGGAGGAAAACCATGGAAGTGTCTTCCAGTAGAACGGTCTCCATTCCCAATCAGTGTTTGAGCTCTGTTGATGGGTGTGCTACTAAAAAAGAATGTTTTAATACCGGATGCAGGAGACTTTAAAATGAATTTTAAATTTATTCAGCCAGCGTTTATTCCAGAAATATTTGTGTGCTCAGGCATCCAGGGAAGAAGAATGAGATTATAGGGTATATTCACAAAGGCTAATTTTAGCCTGCTGAGTTTTAATCTCTCTAGGCTTCCTCTGTAACTATTGGAGAGAGACAGGAGCTTTGTTTAGTTGTTCCAACTTGCCCCGTAGAGGACCTTTATGTTTTTTTATCTCTCTGTTGATTATAGAGAGGACTTGAGAAAGTTTGCCCCAATACCTTGTCTGAAATACTCTCTGTGCGACTGTCCTGGAGAGGTGTAACAGAGCTGGATTGTCAGCACATACAGAAGAAAGTAATTGGAAAGATAATAACTACTTTAAAATAGGAACAGATTCAGATTGCCCTTCATCTGGGAATGTTTCATGTTGGAAGCTGTGCTCCTGCTCTTTGGGCCGTGCGTGGTGTAAAGCACTGTTCAATAAAAGGTAGCAACATCCAGGCTCCAGTGAATGCACCAGATGAGTCCGTGAGCTGTTTGTGGATATTTAGGAAGCAGAAAAAGCTAAATTAAATGAATGCATTATTCACTGTGATTATTTCATTAGCTACCCTTTCATACACACAGGCACCGATATAAACCTGCCTCGGAAATTCAATATATTAACGACCTCATGCCCCCAACAAGAACAAATTAGAATATAAATGTATCCACATCTCTGCCTACTGCTTACAACTTTCTGCATAAATACACCCCAACAGCAGTTACAGTTGTGTGTTATAGTGGTCTTTTGGCCAGTTCTTTGTGATTCAGTGTCATTCATGTTTTTTCTGGTATAGTTTTCCATCAAATTCCTCAAATCAATCTACTTTCTTTTTGCTGCCTATCTCTGCCTCTCTCTGTCTCTCTGCTTATCTGTTCTTTGTGGCTGATAGATCTGGGGATAAGCTGCCTTTTTTTAAGGGTCGTGCACTTACTGCCTCTCAGGACCCACTTTATCTTTGGTTCAGCCATTGTCCTCACTGGATTTAGACTATCCTTCCTGGAAGATACATATCTATTGACACAGAAGCTAATTTTCTCTGTGTCTGAAGGCTGAAAGTTTCTGTGGGATACCTTAGCCATTATTCTGGAAGGGAGTAATGGCTTATGTCACTCTAACTAATTAAAAGACCAATCAATAGCCACTTGAAAGTGGGCCACCAGGACCACTGATAATGCTGTGTTGGTGTTCATGGGGATGTCTTTTTTGTTTTTTTTTGCAGTGAGACTGAACACAAAGCTGTAAAAATTAAGAAATAATCTGTCAATTTTCCTAATCTCTCTCCCAGGTAGGGTAGGGCTGTAGAACCCCCGATGCCTGATACCTGCAAACATCACCTCTCACCAGCTGCACTGCCATCACCCAAGAAAGACAGACCTACTGTCCTTTGGCAGCGATGTTCATGCCTTCTCTGATATCAGGCACTGCATTTAGGTCTGTAGGATGTTTTGCAGACTCCTGACCGTTTTTTAAGCCAGATCTGATGTGAATGTAATCCGTGCAAACCAGAGGGTGCACACAAACTAGTAAATCCTGGGAAGAAACAGGGCTGATGCCAAGTTAATGTGGCTTCTGGGCTTCTGAGTAAGAGCTGGCTTGTCAGCTGGGTGGCTTCACATACATAAGCTTCTAAAAATCAAGAGGACATGCCCTTTAGCAGATCCCTGCAGCCCCTTATGCCAGCAGCCCACAACGGCCAGGTTCTGTGGTTGATCCCATCCAGAAAAAGTGGGAGCAACTGATGTGAATAAGTCTCAGGGTTCATCCCAAAGGTGTTTTTCAGCTCCAAAATGAGATCTGAGAGAAGAAATGTCTCAAAAGTAGGCAGCCAGTCCAGCACCCTCCAGGGCAGGTTAATGGTCTTTCAAAACACCCAAGCTCAGGCTTAACTTCTAGGACATGAACAGTCCCGTTTGCATGTCCTTCATCACAGATTTAGCAACAAAAGAGTGGCCTATCTCCTGGTAATGTCAGCTGCCATGTGGGTATCCCCACCAAGGCCACGATTAGCACACAAGGACCAGTGGAGAAAATATATGACATCCCTTTGATTGCTTTAGGAAAGAAGACAAGCAGACACAGTCCCCACAGCCCTACTTCTTGCCTTCTACTGTACAACCCTGCCACCTTTTTTGTTTTGGAGCAAAAAGGCCAGGAGGGAAAAGAGCAATTTCTCAAAAAACAAACCAAAAGAAGGAGGTGGAGACTGGGAGAGCAGTACTGGTTCCTCTTCCATGGGTGCCAGAGAGAGACACCCTGAATCTGGCAATACATTCACCAACACAGTTCCACCCTCTCCAGCGGCACCAACACGTCTCTGAATTGTACATTTTTCCCATTTCCCGCATCTGGAGTGGTACAGATGAGAGTTTTATTCCTGCCTGTCTTTCATTTGTCTTTTCAAACTGGGTATGGTTGGTTGGTTCCCTTTCTCCTTTCTTCCTTTCTTTCGTTCTTTCTTTCTTTTGGCTTCTCTTTCCCTTTCCTTTCTACGTTTGTGTTCATAAGCAAAGTGTTTTGTTTTGTTTCAGTCTTTTGGTTTTAATTGCAGTCAGATGGCAGTGCCCCTTTACGGCATGACGCTCAAATGTTCCAAGTGTGGAGTAGTTTCTTCTGCTGAAGTTTCGGCCACAGCCACCAGTAACGCCATGTTAGTTCCTCTAATTTCAACTTCTTTTCTTTCTTTCTTTCCACTTTCTTTTTTTTTTTATATATTTATTTTATTTCCCTCTTCCATTTCCCTGCACTCACCAACCCTTGTTTGTTTTCTCTCCCCATGTCCCTGCCCACCTCCCCACATCCCTGACTCTCCCTGACCTCATTCTGTGGGCCATGAGTAGTGTAGGGCTCCCGCAACATCCCTGGAGCAAAAGCTGATGGGCTGGATCCTGAAAAGCACTTTCTGACATGCTTAGATTTAAGCATGTGAGCAGCCCATGGAAGACAAAGGGATTCTTCATTTGTTAGAAGCTGGGTATATGTTTAATTTACTTCTCAGAGTTACAGACTTCAAGATGTGCTTCCCATTAATTTTAATGGTAGACAAGAGTCTCAAACTCCAGCTTTTTCAAACACTTTAGTATGTGCTTGATTTTTTTACTCCAGAGGCTGCAGAGCTTTGAGTATGATTTCAGAGATTTGGTGAATCTCATCTCGGTGGTTTTTTTCTCTTATAAAAGGCTGTAGTTACGTTTAGTATCTGGTAGGGCTGCAGTCATGATTTGATAACTGTTGACTTTCTCTTTTGGACCCCTAAAAGCACTTGGAATTAGTTCTTAAAATCTTAAGGTGTTTCATAGCTCTGAGTTACGAAAGTCAAATGTTGTTAGATCTTTTCTCAGATGCTGCTGGAGTTAGTTAAAGAAAAAAAAAATAACGAAAATGCCAGAGCTTTGTTCTGGTGGAGAAATTGTTGCTATTTATATAGTTGGATTTTTTCCCAAAGGTTAAGGTAGGAGGGAGAGCAATGAGGGAAGATTTGTCTTTCTTCCTTCCTCCTCTCTTTGAAATGTTATTATCTGCACCAGTTCCAAGTGATGCTATATTTTGGTTTTGGTGTCTAAAGTAATATATGTAAAATGTGTGAAAGAAACAGTCTCAGATCTAGACATTTGCAATTTGAAAACTCCTACCTTTAATTAATCTAAAAAAAAAATAGTCAGCTGAGTGCCAAATCTCAAAATGTAGATATAGAGAAGAAAATGAAAACTCAAGGTTTTCTCCTGTATTTTTTTTTTTCTGGAAACTGAGCCATTTACATAAAATCCAAAAGAGTTTAGGGAAAAAAATGTACTTTTCTCAAAAAACAGCCAATTTTTGTTAGGAAGAGAGAACATGCAATCACCTCTATTAAGAGCTAGCAGTTTCTGAGACGTAAGAACCCTACAAAAACTCATTTATTTTTCCCTGCTGAAGTAATTTACTTACCTTTTGCAACAGTGCCCAGCTGAGCTGGTGAGTTGGCGTTGGTCCAGACGCGCGTACCACAAGTCTGGAATTAGCAGGTCACTGCATTTCAGTTTCCTGCGACTGCAGAGGAATGCTAAACCAGCAGAAGCTTTGCTATTAATAAATTAGACTGTTAAAGAGGAGAGGCTTTCAGTTCATATTAAACTCATTTTAAAAGGGAAACAATCTTAAATCCTTCTCCCATATTGTCTGACATTGGTCTGTCATAAATGACGTCTTCTGATTCATCTTCAAATCAGAAAAAAAAAAAAAAAAGGATATGAAATCCAGATCTACTTTTCTAGTTTAAGTGGTTTGATAGAAATTGGAGGGCTATTGTGTTTTATTTTTTTTTCCCAGCAGATAGAATACCTTAGCTGATAAATTCCAGTGCTGGTTTTGTTGTTTGTCCTGAAGTGTCCTATGCTCTTGTCCTTCCAAAGGGACCACTGAGTAATACATGAATCAGTTCACTCAGCCTTCATCTACACTTTTCGTCCACTTCATTCTACAGCTGAACTGTTTCTGGTTTCCTGCCTCCAAATCTATTGTAAATGAGGTTGTCAATAAGGCAAAACCCTGATTATGTTTCATGCCACTGCCACCATTCTGCTGGCCTTCATCCCAGACCTTGGACCAGCTTTGCCATTCAGTTTTGAAGTCTCATAATGTAAAACAGATGCCATGAGGATTTCTGGCTCCTCTCTGACCTGGAGTTAGCCAGAGCTGTTTGGTAGAGAGAACATCAACGATGTTCCTGCCTTGTTCCTGCTGGGGTTGCCCTCCCCAACTTACCTCCCATAGGTTTCAGAGTCTCATTTCTGAGATAGCATGGCATGAAAGGATAGATCCTTTTGTCCATTTTTCTTGTCTTTTGGAAATCATAGACGTTTGGAGCAACTCTTTGTGGTAATATCTGTGTTTAAGAGAGAAACAGTCAGAGAAGGGGATGTGTAACTATGAGAAAACACGGTAAACCACTGTTGGAAGAGCAGGTAGTAATTGTGAAAAAACATGCACTGGAAATTCTGCAAGTTCTTGACTTGGGAAATGCTAAAAAGGAAATCTTTGGATGTCTAGGACCTGTTAAGGGTTAGCCAGACTTGACAGGTGTGGGTTAAAAAACCCTTTCCCTTTAGTTTGTTCTGGAGAAGATACTGGTCATATTTTGCCATTGGAAGATGTTTCTTCCCACATTTCCTTCCTTTTATTGCTGCCTGTAGGGTCGCCTCAGCCTGTGAAATACGGCTTTATAACTAATTTGTCTTTGCTACCTGTGAAAATTTTCTGAGACAGGGAAAAAATATTTCAAGGGCACCCCATTTCTTTGTACCTGCTGTGAACGAGGCCATCTAGTGAAGATACCAGGGACTGCTGATGGATGGATGGATGGATGGATGGATGGATGGAAGGATGGATGGGATTCCTGTCAGGCAGTGCATTACAATATGGACTCTCAAGTTCTTACCAAAGGGAAAAGACTGGCTGAAGACTAAGGCCTTGGTGCACTGTATTTTTCTTGCAGGCAACCCACTCAAGAGACAATGTCAGGGAGTCCTCATGACCCTTCTCATGCATCATCCCTCTTATGTCATCAGAAGCTCACACGTCAGATCTCACATCTAAGGAATTTGTTCCTTTTCTTGGCTCAAAGTCATTTCAGGAAGTCTTAGATGTCGTTTTTTCTATATTGTAGTTCCAGGACTAATGTGAATCAATACTTCCATGCATGGCTGGTTTTATGAAGGAGACTGTTCCTCAGGAGAGGGTTATTCTCATAGTTCAAGGAATTTGAAATTGTATTCTCACCTGGGAATACTACTTGAGCCCAGCAGGGTCTTGCCTGGACTGTCAAAGAACAACTTCCCTTATTAGGGGTGAATAATTAAGCAGTCTGTCCATAGGTACTTTGTTACCTGCTCGTCTCATTTAGGGGTATTTGCTTTCCTGTTCCCCTAGTTGTATGGTTCAAATTGCAGCATCTGAGAGAAGAATCATCTTCTGGAGGAAACAGAAATAATATCTTATGTTCCTGTGTTGCCTGGGCATGGGAAAATGCATGCGCAGTGCTCCCCCTTTCCTAGTTGCAGATTTCCTATCTTGGTTATATGGGCATTGACTTAAAGAGATTTTAGGAGGAATACAAGTTAGAGGAGGGATAGCACATGACATAATGAATAAAATAAATATTTTTACTGTAGTTTTCCTGTAGCAGAACCGCTGGGATTCAGGAATCATCAGAACAGTGGAGCATCACGTGCCACTCTGTGCAGCACATAAAGAGTCATCCATTGTCTCATGTCTTGAGTCCACCTGCCATCTCCCTTTTCAGAGCTCCCCTCCAGGAGCTGCTTTCTGAATTGTAAAGTTATTTTTCCTTCTGCTGCTTCTTTAGCTTTTGGTACTGGCTGCCCTGTCAGTGTTGAGTAATGAGAAGAATTGATCACTTCTTTATAATGACCCTTTACATCTTTGTTGGCATGTTCTTTGTCTGCCTGCACTTGCCTTTTGTCAGGGTGCAGGCCTCTTAATCTTTCTTCATGTAGATCTATGTTTCCAAAAACATTTTTTTTATTCTTTCCATTGCTGTCCTCTAAGTGCCATCAGTTTATCCTGCTCCTTTTGCAAAGGTGAAGACTCACAAGGCTGCCACCCAGCTAAAGCACAAAACTACAGCTGGTTGTTGATATTTTGACCAAAGGCCATCATCTGCTTGTGGCCAGAGCTGGGTCTGCTTTGTGCTCTCATAAGGCAAAGTCTTTGCCATGCTGGATAAAGCTGTGGACAATATTATCGTGTGGCCACGTTGTCACACATCCTTGTCATTCTATTTGGTTGCCCTATGGCATTGCCGTGTCCCAAAGTAATGCCTTTCCTCTGCAATGTAGCAGTGGCGTGGTGTGGTGGGGAGGAACTACATGACACTATAACTGTTCTGCTGGGTGACATTGTCACGTCATGGTCATCACCATGCATCACCAGCATCGTGCTTCCACGTGTAACGATCTTCCCTTGATGTTGCTGTCACTCATCATGAGTGCTATCATGTACGAGACAAATAAGAGGATCTACCAGCTAATTCCTTTGTCTCAAGCAATCAAAATCCTGGATTCATAATGAAAAGTTATTAGATAATCACAGTGCCATTATATAATTGATCATCATCATTACACTTTGCATCACACGGTACCGCAACGTGAAGTTTCTTAGGTCCTATAAGTTATTCTGGAATCTTTTAAGGATGCACAGTGCCTCCTAAAGAAGGGACAGATGGAAAGGTGGCAGAAGTGTGAGCTCTGCTATGAATTCAGCTCACAGCAAGTAGAATTCAGGGTAATGTCACAGGAAACTCACTTATCTTCCCCTGAGTTTTCTTCTGAAATTTCAGTCTTGATATGATATTTTTTTAAGAGGAACTTTTTTTGAATTTAATCTTTCAAAAGCTAAGCAGAGCTCCGAAAGTGAAATTAGAGTCAGTTACATTCCTATGACCTGTTGCCACCTGCTGCCTGAGAATAAAGATTATGCATTAAGTGTCAGGCAACATTTCTGTAGCATTTGTAAGGGGTGAATATTATTGAAAAGGCATCTGCAAGGTGAATCACAAAGAGAGCAGAAAGGCCATACTCTTAGCTGGTGTAAGTCAGCACAGCTCAGTTAGGAAAATCCTGATTTACTTCAGCTGAATACGTGGCGTTAATACCACTTTCATCATCTGAGTTGGAAGGGGAGATGATATTTACATCATCTGGTTAGAAGGGCAGAGATATAAGTGGTGATTTAAGGTGGCTCATGTTGGCAGCAATAGTGATGTCCATTGGGATGTCTCGCCTTGTAAGAAAGTCAAATAGTTTGCCCACACGGAGACATGTGGAGCAAGAGGCTGGGCAGGACTCACTGAGTCCAACGTGAAGACAGCAGGAGCTCTGAAGGGAGCCCACTGTAGCTAAGGGTCATTGTATCTGTGCTCTGGATAGCAAAGGGACTCAAGCAGTGTCTTGTTAAAGCAGGGTGCCTGCATATTTTTTTTTAAAGTTGGTTTGGAAGCCAATGGATTGAAATCTAACCTCTTGCTAAAGAGAAATGTAATTTACCTCCACAGCAGCATCTCTTGCAGCCCCAAATCCACATCTAAATCTTGGATCCATATCTCTCCGGCAATGCAGTTCTTTTCAAGAACAGAAAGCCCCTCCAAATTTCAAAAGGCCCGTACTTACAGGTCAGATCTGTCCTCTGATGTGGTTGCAAGGTTTCTTGTTTGCACGTTGGTGGTAGTAACGTACACATATGTGTTTATATTAAGAATATACTGGGAGGCCGGTTAATTCCAGGAAGCAGAGATGTCTGGGACAGACCTTTTCTAGCAGCCTCTATTGACTGTGCTGGTTTCCAGCAATCACAATTGCAAGTTGCTACTGGAGTGGCTTCATCTACCAAGCCATGCATCAGGCAGGCTGTGTTTGCTGATACTTGGATGGAAGGCACATCTAGAGAAGCTTGCTATGGAGCAAACCTTATCTTTCCCTTTGGCTTTACTGCCTCTCTGTGTTTTTTTTTAACTGCACTTACTGCTCAGCCAGATTTATTAAGGTTTTTTTTTCACTGCACTTACTGCTCAGCCAGATTTATTAATGCACCACTGCAAACGATAGCAAAGAGAGATTTCAGTGTGATGAGGTAGGTTTCAGAAGGGTGAGGAAGAAGTGGAATGATAGCAAAGAGAGATTTCAATGTGATGAGTTAGGTTTCAGAAGGGTGAGGAAGAAGTGGAATTTAAACTCTCTGTTTAGGAGTTGTTTGGTTGAGGGTTGTCTGGCTTTAAATAATACTTTGAAATTATCCTTCATGTTAGACGTTAAATAACATACAGTTTGTCAGCCTGTATAAAATAACAGGGTATCAAATTAAGTCATGGCCCTTACCTTATGTGGAAGTCTAGTAATGCTTGTTTTAATTGATAAAAAAGTGTATTCCATTTAGCTGCTCCCTTAGGTAAAATGCATTGCTTAATAATACTACTAAGGAACACACCTGAGTTTGGACAGGTTGTAGAAATATTTGCAATCAGGGTGTCATTGTGACTATGAAAATAACCCGTCACTTCAGTATGTGGTCGTTACAGCAGAACTGATGTAACAATCCTTGAAAAACTCTTAACTGAAGCCAGGGCGTTACAGCCTGATGTCCATCCCTGTGTCCAAGCTCCAGCTTTGTTCAGGTAAAACTCTCACTGAGGTCTGTGAGAGCGGTACCTGGATAACCAGCAAGTAAACATTATTAAAAACTTGATCATATAACAGAAAATGGTAAGCAAGTCCCATGTAAGTACTGTAAAACGTGTGTCATGATATCTGTCCTGTAATTTATTGTGTTGCCTGTATTTGTTTCTTAGTATATAGGCAGAGGTTTTCTACACAGAAAAATCTTGAAGTTCAACTTGTTATTCAGCATGTGCATAGATCTACTCTTATCTGTTAGATAAAAGCCCACAGAGAAATTCTCCTGGTGCTCTTGATACACCAGTGCTGCGAGGTATATAAAATGACTGACAGCTTAAAATCTTCCCAGTAAACTGTTAAAATTGCTTAGGAGCCTTTTTGGATAGAGAGCTGAATGACTAAATAGTCCATGGGAACAGAGCTGCTTTTGCACTTCTAGAACCATCATTCATAGATAAAGTGGAGGTTCACAGGGCAGTACTTGCATTGCAGAAAACTGTTTTGTCCGGTTTTCTGTCTTGTGAATTAAGAAGTGGCTTGAATTTTAAGTTATTTTAACCCAGAAAGTCCAGCCAGGAATGCACTTATTTACAATAATTGCTGAATATAGAAACATCTGTATTTTTTTTCAATGCATTCAGCTGGGGAGATCACAAAAGAAAGCAAAAAATTTTCTGTTCACAGAAAAATTGGGTGAGGTATTGGTTCTGCTGATACTAATTGATATAGTGTCATAGGGACCACCAGCTGTAGAGTAAGGGAGCAACAGCAAAGTAACAGTCTCCACATCAGCTCTATGCTTGTCCGTTTTAGTCACTTGAAACCGTGACACGTCCCCACTGTTGGTGTCTTCCATGTGCTGTGGAAGTCCAAGTGTCTGTGACCCAAGTTATCAACAGCCATCGTGACAAACCAGTCTCTGCTGCAGCTGTTCCCCTTCCCTTTGGCAACCTACAGTGACTGTATTTTGTCTCCCCTCCTTGGGAAGTGCCATCGTTGTGGAGTAGTGACACAGAGTGGGAAGGGTGTGAAAGGGGGAGTGAGGTATCTGCATCCTTCCTCCCCACCTCAAGTTTTATGCATGACTGCACCATCGAAAAGTAGTCCCTCCCGTAGAAACGTGTGTCACCTGTTTTGGTAGCGTGAGTGTGCAAAGCACCTTCCTGCTTCCCGGTGACAGGGACTCAGAAGACATCTAGCACAAGTATACATTTGCTGAAGAAGTCTTCTGAAGCCCCATGGGATCAGGAGGCTGAATTAGCATCCCACGTGGAAGCCGGAGAGGCTGAAGTGGAGCTGAATTCTCTTTTTCTCTCCCTTAACAGGGCATCCCTTTGGAGCTCCTGCGTGGTCCTACCTCTCCTGGCTCTCACCTGGATGTCCGCAGTTCTGGCAATCACAGATCGGCGGTCAGCACTCTTCCAGATACTTTTTGCTGTCTTTGACTCATTGGAGGGCTTTGTCATCGTGATGGTCCATTGCATCCTAAGGCGGGAGGTGAGACGGATGAGTTGCTCTCTTTTATGTAACCAACATACTTCCCATAGAAAACATCTGAAAAATGTCCAGTCAACCCAAGAACTTCTCTAATCCTATGAACTTTAAATTTGTGTAGACAGTGACCACAAAAATGACTACAACACGCAGAAGGGAAGAGGGATGAGTAAATGGTTGTTGTCCTGATGGATTTTGCAGGACAGTCTTAGATTAGTGTTCTTACTAACTAACCTCTCAGGTTTTGCTTGTTTAATACCAAATTTAGTATTTCCAGGATGTTTACACCTTACCTCCAAGAATGGAATATTAAGGAAAACAGTTTGTTCGTTTGATTTCAAGAGGAGAAACTTACACTGGGGTTTACAGAATAATTGTATGTTGGCATTGGCACCTCGATATTGGAGGTAGAAAGTAAAGCTAGCAATAATCAAGCAAGGAAATTGAATAAATTCTCTCCAGCCTCCCTGTGGAGATTTAAAATGGTAAATTATATCAGGGAAGAAAAGGATGAATCTTTTATGTTTCTTTTATTCTTTTCATCCTACTGAGTGGATAGACTATTAATAACAGAGACAGGAAGGAGGTTTTTTTCAATATTCATTTTATCTTCTTACAGCTCCTTTAAATTAAGTAAAACAGATTAATTTCTTATGTCAGGCCAATGAAATCAATGGAATTACAGCACCAGCTTGGCTCAGCCTCGCTCAACTAATTGCATTATGAATATGGGCCTGCATTTAACTCCCATTGCAGTCACTGGCATTTTTTTCCATTGATTTCAGTGAGTTTTGGCTCAGATATTTATTACAGCCGATATAGAATCATAATCAGATATTGTAGACCACAATATAATGATTTATGCAATAGCATCCATCATAAACATATTGCAAGCTGCAAAATAGGAGACATTTTTATTCTTGAATGTATAAATCAAGCAACTAGAAGCGATCAACATGGTGACCCAGGATACATGTAAAGCCTCTGAGTTGCTCTGTTACTATGTGAGGTATCATAAAATCATAGAATAATTCGGGTTGGAAGGGACCTTAAAGATCATCCAGTTCCAACCCCCTGCCCTGGGCAGGGACACCTCCCACCAGACCAGGTTGCTCAAAGCTCCATCCAACCTGGCCTTGAACCCCTCCAGGGATGGGGCATCCACAGCTTCTCTGGGCAACCTCAGCCAGTGTCTCACCACCCTCACAGCAAAGAATTTCATTCTGTTATCTAACCTAAATCTCCCCACTTTCAGTTTAAAACCGTTCGCCCTTGTTCTATCACTCCACTCCCTGATAAAGAGTCCTTCCTTGTCTCTCCTATAGGCCCCCTTTACGTAGTAGAAAGGGCTCTAAGGTCTCCCTAGAGCCTTCTGTTCCTCAGGCTGAACAATCCCAACTCTCTCAGCCTGTATTCATAGGAGAGGTGCTCCTATAAACCTCATAGGAGCAGGTTTATATGTAACATATAGACCATTTTTAATGAAAACCTGAATGCTACTAAAGTAAGATCCATGTTCATTTGAGCTACCAGGGCCTTTTTGTTTCTTTGGGTTTGGGTTTTTTTTTTTGGTTTTGGTCCTCAGCAGAATTTAATATGGTTTGATATTTCTGTCTGACTCCAACTTCTGCAAATCTATTTGTTCCTGCAGGTCCAGGATGCTGTGAAGTGCCGAGTAGTGGATCGTCAGGAAGAGGGCAATGGAGACTCCGGGGGGTCATTTCAGAATGGACACGCTCAGCTAATGGTAGGGAAAATTACCACCTAGTCTATCATTAAGGGACCTGTGGACATTTTTAACCCATAGCTGATAAACAAAGTGCTCTGTCTATCATAGCTTTTGCAATAATCATTCTTTTTTTCCTTTAAACCTGTGCCTGAACAAACATAGCACTCAGCATAATCTCTTTTACACAAATAAGTTTTTTCTTTCCAATATTAAGTGGCTCAAACGTACACACCAGGTTTTGCAGACATCTTGGTGACATCCTTTCTTTCCCAGAAAATACAAAGCCAAAATGAACCTCCCAGGTCTTCCAGACCTTTTCATCACCATCACGCTGCCCTGTCCTAGCTAGAGCTAGGAGGCAGTAGTTTAATACTGTTTTAATCACAGTGTGTTGGGTCATTATTATAAAGATGCTGTCTCAAAGGGGTTTCTTTCTTCCAAAAGTGCATTTGTTTACCTTGCTTCACCGGAAATACAGTTTAAGCACTGTAAACCCTGGTCCTTTGTAAAGTCTTTTACAAACTGCTTGGGTAAGGCCATAGAAGAATAAATTATGGGGAATTGTCTTCAGTGTTTACGAAGTAGGTGGTATAAGAGGCATTTGATTTCTGAGACTGGGGTAAGGACATCAGGACAATGGCAAGATTTGAACAAGTTCCAAAAATGTCTAGTTAATACTAGAACAATATCATAACCCAGTGGTGTGTTTTTCCAGTCACTCCTGTGCTGAGCTAAGTAGCTTGTGCTTGGGTACAAGATCTCATTTCAATCTTTAAATTAAAGCATTGAGGGATATACAACAAGGCATCAATCTTTAAATCAAGGCATCAAGGGATATACAATTCAACCACATCTCATAGATGTTTGTTAAAAAAAGGTGCCTCATTTCTAATTTAAATGCGTAATCTTCTCATTTTCAGACTTAGGTTCTTGCTCTGCCTATTTATGTGTAATTAGAAAGCCCCTTGCGTGCCTAGTACTTTTGCTCCTTCAATAATAGACAACATAATCATATCCAGCCTCAATCTTCCTTTCAAGAAGTTAACACACGGAGCCTTTTTATTTTCCCTCTGTAAGACATTTCCCTTCAAATTATTTATACAACCCTTTTCCACATGTCCTTCAGACTCTCACCATCCTTTAAAAATGGGGCTGCTCTATTTGTCATTCTATTGTCGCCATCCTGAGTGCTATATTCTGAAGTTTCAGATTTTTCTCTCTCTGTGTAACTCCCTACTTTCATTCATTATCAACCCCCTTGCAAAATTTTGTGTCAGCCACAAGTTGTTCGGCACGGAGATTACATTTATTTCTGCCCCGCTGATGGATGCCTTGAGAAGCAGAGAGCTTACAATCAGTTTCTTCACATTCAAGCACAAAAAGCTCCGGAATCCAGACATGAATGATGACTCCTCACTGATATTTTTAGAGGGGTACAATGTTATTTTATATTGACTGAGTTGTGCTATAACTAAAGAAATCAAAAGCTTTGCAGGATGGCATTTTTGCCGCTACCTTCTCCAGTAATCTCCAAATCTGCCCTACATGTGAAAAGAAGCTTAGCTTAGTAGAACTGTTTTCCACAAAATCTTGTTGGCTGGTATTAAATATAAACCTATCTTTTATTTATTTGTCGGTAGAACTAGTACAGGCTGTTCAGTTATATTTTTCTGGAACTCCAATCACAAAAATAAGACTATATTTTTCTGTGTCATCCTACTTGCCCACTTAAACGTTAGCTCAGTCTTATTTCCCCTCTATTATTTTCAGATATTTATTTGATATCCCAAATAGTTTACTAAGAAATTAGCATCAAGAAGGTTGAGATAATTCCTAGATAATTCCTCAACCAGCTCTTCAAAAACTTTTGCATCTCTCCTGCTAATATTAAAGTGTTTATCCCAGGGAGTTGAAGATTTTTTCCCCCACTGTTCTTAGTATTAAATTGGAATGCATTTAATCACATTAATACAATTATATTAAGTGTTTTCTTTCTGAAATGATACTAGGAATAGTCTGTGAATTCTTCTACCTTTTGCTAGTCTGTGGCCTTTCCATTACTCTGTGACAACTCATGGCCCACTGTGACTCAGTGTATCCAGTTCTTTGAAATGTTATCTGCTAAAAGCTTTAGAAAAAAGGATTAACTCCTACTGTCAGGAGAAAGGAGTTTCATTTGGCTGTACAGACTGCTTGAAAAAAAGTTTTTCAGCCTTTGTGCCTGCAGGGACCATTGATTTTATACACCAAGAGTTTCAGAAGCAGAGACTTGTTTCCACTTCATGTGACTTGGTGATAGATCACAAGAAAATCCAGTGGGTATGGAGCGCTCTCAGGGGCATCCCCAGATCTTTTAATGAGTGGAGGTGAATCCACTATGTATAGGGAGGTATATCCAAGGCAAATCAGCCAGGAACCTGTCCCCTAATTTTTAGAGATGTGCATAAATATGTTCCAAGGAGATATTTTAATTAGTGGAATTAATGTATGGATGAGCAGATGAATCCAGCTGAAAAACAATGTTACGGTTTTACCACTCTGTGAGGTTCAAAAGCCACAGCTGGAAAAAAGTGGTCTGTTTGCCTTGTTTCAAAGCCCAAGCAAAACGTCTCTCCTCCCCTCTTCTGGCAGCCATTATGTCTGACTCACTAATTAAAGTGGGTTTCACATTTTCTAAATGGCTTTCTTCCCCCGCCGCCAACTCCTTTTGACCACGTCCTCTGTGTTCTCTGTCTTTCAGACCGATTTTGAGAAGGACGTGGATATGGCTTGTAGATCAGGTGAGCACATCACAGGTGAGAATCAACAAGTGACCTGGTTTGGGGATTGAACTAGGCCATTTTTCTTTCCTTTCTGTTTTATTTGTGTGTCTTAGTGGCTTGCATGTGCTTGTGTGGGCTGCCTTTACTGTCAACCCTGGTCAAAAGAAAGCAGCTCCCCTAATTCTCCCTCATGCTTTGCTTATCCTGTTTCACTGCAACTCTCTTGGTCTTTAAACCAGGATTAAGCTGTGCCTCTGAGATATTATTTCTTTCCTGTGGCCCATGTGGCATCAAAGAGTATCAAGGAAGAAGAGATTGAATGCATCTCTTCCTACTGTGATCCTTCTTTGCTTTAGCAACCCCTGCCCAAGGGGGTCGCACCAACCCCAGACAGCTCTGGGGCCAGGAAGGGGTGTCTTTGAGAAGGTCTGGGAGTCTGGAGAGTCTTCCTACCACTCCACCTCTGGTGCAGCTGTAAGTCTGTATGGAGGTGGGTCTCCTCCCAGCCTGAGAGGGTGGCTCTCAGGTCTCTCCTCCTTTGCCTTCACCTTTCTGCTGTGTGTTCAGTCACACAAATTATGATCCTGAAGATCTGCATGAGTTGATGGCCCCTTTCCCCAATAACTCCCTTTTCTCTCGTTGTCCTGGGGATGTCTGTGCTGTCTGGATTCTCCTTTGCTACCTGTTCGTCTCTGCGGGTTTTGTATTCTCCTGGTCCTGGCATGCCTGGCTGGGGGTTTTTTTCTTACCCTTTGTAGATATTTAGGCTTTCATTTACCCTCCCAGACTTCTCCCCTCTCCCAAGCAAGAGAAATACCAGCTTGCTTGGCACCTGCATAGAATTCATATCTTCCAAACCAGGATCTCCCCTAGCCAAGGACAGTACATATTGTGTGTTCCGTTGCCATCATGGTAAAGCTTCTGTTTCTCTTTTTATTACTCTTTCTCTCTTTCTTTCTCTTTCTTTTTCTCTCCTCTCTCTCTCTCTACACATGCCTACCTACCTGTCCTTTTCATTTGTCTTTTTCTTTACCTAATTTATCATTTATTTATCTGCTTCTTATGTAGTTATCTATAATTCATCTCTTTTTCTCGATCTTGCAATCACTTATTTATCTCTGTCCTCAACTGTCTCTTGTGCTGTACCTTTTATTTATGTATTTATACCTCTGTCAACATTTATCTCTGTCACTGTGTTTCTGTGCATTGTCTATCACTGTCACTACCATTTATCTATCTAATATCTATCTATATCTTATTTATCTTTTCCTGTCCTTCTTTCTGCCTCACTCCCTCTCCCTATGCTTATCACAGTCACAGTATATTTATCTCACTTATCCCTGTGATATCTTATTTCATGGTCTCTTTCTGTCCATTTATCTCTTTTCAGGGTCTGTCCATTTTTTCCTTTCTGTGTCTCTGTCTCACACTCTCTAATCTAATTTCTAGCTGTCTCCCTCTTCTCATTTGTTTTCCTCCTTCCTTTTTGACACCGAAGACCTCGGTACCACAAAGTCACATGTGAGAAAGGTGCACGTGAGCCCAGGTCTGACTTGAACACATGCTCAACGAAGGTTTATCTAGGCTGGGTGTTGACACACACAAGCAGTTACAGAGCCAGCAGCCCATCTTCTGCTGGAAACCAAGGCAGACCCTGCGCTCCTGCAATACAGGAGCCTTTCTGATCTGCTACCAAGTTTCTTCCTCCCAAATCGAGCTTCCCAGAGGAAAGGAAGGAGCTGATCATTTTCACATGACTTCAGGGCAGAAGACCCTGGATAAGCAGCTTGCTAACCGTCTAGGCTTCCCTTCCTTTGCCAGCACACAGCGATATATAGTTTGTTGACACCTGCCTGAAGAGATAGTCCTCCTCTGATAAAGTGCTCTTAGTCTGCACCAAGCTAAGTACTTAGTCCCCATTTCAGAGATCTTTCTATATAGTGCACCATCCTATACATACTGCTTATTGAGTAATTAAAAATAGAAATCTGCCTATTGGATTATGGCCATTGTTTCTTCTGGAGGCAGTGCGTCTCCTGTTGACAGCCTGGAGGTATGCCTGATACTGCTCACGACCTTCTCACTTGGATTCCCTGTTAATGGCCCAGTGTTGAAAGCTCACTCTGCTCCATGCTTGGAGATTACCAAGTGCAAACCTCTCCAAACCTAGTTTGTGCAGCTGATGTGAGCATGGAGAAGAGCGTGAATCAATAAACCTGACACCCCCAAGTGGAGGGTTTGACTCAGTAACATCTTCCCTCACTGTATGCTCCGAATATGCTGTAATGCTCCAACTTATCCTAGCGTGTCCTCTAGCAATGTCAAGATGACTGTGGCTGCCATAGTTACACCCAGTGTGTTTAACAGCTTTTTAAAAGTTCTTTTATTCTACTTGGTGTCCTTGTCATCCTGCCTTACCTGCTCTGTAGTCTTTGAGGAGAGCTTTGCTCTTCCAGCACCCATCATTCCCGGTAGGAATTAATAGAAAAATTAGTGTGTCCTCAGTCCCATGGGATGTCTCTGTCATGTTCTGCCTCTGTACCAAGTGGAGCAGCTGAATAGTATCAGGTTGCCCCAAAGATCCTTGTCTCTAGTCCATTGAGAAAAAATAGATAAAAGGACCTTTGGGTCTATTTTCCTTCTGAGATGGTTGAAAGAGGAACATGCATTTATTTCTCCTTTCCTGTGCTGAAATACCAGGTAAGTAGCCTTCCATCCCACACTTTGTCCCTGCCCCATACAGTTTGTGATTTCCATCCCCTGGAGACATCAAAGCTGATATCATTATCTTCCAAAGGTGTTTGCTGCAGCCTGAAATCAACTGAGCAATAGATTCTTAGGCCCAGAAAAGGAGCAGATGTCTTGTTGTGGACAGTGTTGTGTGGGAATGAGTGTCTGTGTGTCCTTTATATACCTCCTAATTGCATGTTCACCTTGTCCTCAGTTTAAGGTTTTCTTCTCCTATTAAGGAATATTCATGGCACTCTTTTCTTTCCTCAAGGGGAGCTGGAAAACACCAAATAATTAACTCTCACGAAGACTTGCCATGATCACAAGAACATAAGCTTTTTGGAGAGCAGTTAGAAATTTTTTTAAAAATGTGGTGTATTTTAAAATACCAAATCACTGACACTGAAACTGTTCAAGGGAAAAGAGTAACCTGAAGCAGTTCAGTGACTTTTTAAAAAAGAAGAATTTGTATTTGAATCATTGATAATGCTGCATTTCAGTTATTTCCTGAATCAAAGTAATTTTTGACATGAAAGCAACCTTTAATTTTAAAGAATTCTACTCCATAGGTTAGTAACATGTATATATTTCATATATATACATATACTACATGTACTAAATATATGTACAAGATATTGTTATCAATATGACAATATGTTTTGGCTTAGTTGGGAGTTTTTGCCAAGATTATGTTGGAAAATTCCCATCACAGAGAACTCTCTCAAAAATGAGAATTTTTTTCCTCCCTAGCTTTGCCTCCAGCATCCTGGATTTAAAACAAACAAACAAACACCAGTATAAATCATTGTTTTGCCGCCATAGCTTCTTTCTGAGAGGTCCAAGGGAACATGCTAGCGTGGTGTGACTGTGGTAGGTGTATTAGTATAAATCATTGTTTTGCCACCATAGCTTCTTTCTGAGAGGTCCAAGGGAACATGCTAGCGTGGTGTGACTGTAGTAGGTGTATTGATGTGTTAACAAAAACCCAGGTGAGGTGCTAAGGATACTTATCTGTCCCCCTAGTGCTGAATAAAGACATCACCACCTGCAGGACCTCAACCATCACAGGAACACTGAAGCGTCCATCACTGCCAGATGAAGAGAAATTGAAACTCAATCACCAGAAGGGGTCATCAAACTTTAACAGTCTTCCAGCCAACGTCTCCAAGATGCATCTTCAGGGCTCACCACACTACTTGGGGGCCATCAACCTGAATGAGTTCAGCAATCACAGTCTCACTCTGAAGAAGGATAAGAACCAACCACCTAAGTCCATCTACATCTGTGATGGAGACATCTTCAAGAAGTTGGACTCCGAACTCTCCCGGGCACAAGAGCAAACGCTGGACACCAGCTACGTCATTCTGCCTACCAACACGTCTACCTTAAGGGCCAAACCACCCAAAGATGAGAGCAAATACAGCATCAATATTGACCAGATGCCCCAGACACGGCTCATCCACCTCAGTATGGCTACTGATCCAGGCTTTGTTGTCAAGAGTCCTCCACGGGAGCCTGTGACCATGACATGCAGTGAAGTGCAAGGTTCCCCCATGATACAACAGCAGCAGCAGCTGGCTCCACAAAATATCTCCAACGAGTCACAGATTCCCAACAGCCTGTGTGACACAGGTGACTCAGGGAACTCAGGTGTGGTGTCCAAGAGTGAGACTGTCTCCACCCTCTCCATGAGCTCCTTAGAGGTAAGCATGTGAATTATTGTCTTCTCAGCCCAGAATGATGCCTTGCCCTCAACATTGGCCACATCACATGTTTTGAGAGAACCACCTTAGCAAATGCAGCCTACTACACAATGTCAGTATTATATTATCATGAGGGATCACTGGCATGTGAGACCATGTTGTAATGTAATGTTTAAAATCTCTCACGACTTCTACAGACATATTCCATCATTTGATGAACTGTTTTTAGCCCTACAGGCAATGCAAAGTCCAATAAAAATGTTACTTTTTCAAAGACTGTTCAATTTAGAGCAAGGCACGTGGCTTGCATTACCTTTTCTCCTTCTATCCCCTGCCTCTGTTTCCAATTTTGATGACTTCA